TTCCTGTCCTTCAGTTTGTCGATCGTCTTCTGATCGTCTCTCAGATCCAGTTTAGTTCCGACCAAAATGATTGGTGTCTGCGAGCAGTGGTGACTCACCTCCGGATACCACTGCAAGACGTTTGTGTCAAATGAGGTACTCATTGATTACGACAATCCAATGATAGCATACCTTTGACCTCACGTTTTCAAAAGAGGCCGGATTTACGAGTGAGAAGCAGATTAGGAAGACATCCTTTTGGACAACCATTTCAATGGTTAATACAATTAAGATTATTTTCTCTTTAATATTTCAATATTCAATTGCATTAATTTGTTAATAATAATACCGTCTGTGGATAGGAAAGGGGTCTCAATCTGTCATAGTCCTCCTGACCAGCCGTATCCCAAAGTCCCAGATTGATAGACTTCCCATCGACCATAACATTGGCCGAATAGCCATCAAACCTTCATTTTAATTGTATTAATAAATAACAATTTATATTTGGTTTAAATCAATGCATACACTGTTGGTATATATTCCCCGGGAAAGGCATTCGTGGTGTAACTGATCAGAAGACATGTCTTACCCACAGCTCTATAGAAATAAAGTACCAAAACATTACACCGGTACAATTATTATTTGTAATTTAATTTAATTTAATTTAATACATACCCGTCCCCAACCACAACACACTTAATGGCCTGCATACCAATTTACTCCCAGTTGTGCTCCCAATTATATAACTATTAAGTTTTGTGACTGAATTTGTGAACAATTTCTATTTAAATGAATAAATATATAATTGCTTTTAAGCGAAACACAAAGTATTTGTTCAGTTGTTTCCAACGGATGTATTCAGTTATGTGAAGATGTGATGCAGAATATGCTTATGTAATACATTTGAATTCTATCGATACAATTGGTATTAAATTATATTTGCATTATTTTGTAGACTACAGTGTATTTAATCATTGAAATACAACTATATTTATTGTATTGATATATGGATGTCTACGTAAACGCAAGGATTATTTTTAGCATCAAATATTTCCTATTTA